TAACTATGGTGGTGGTGGGAACTATAATGATTTTGGAAATTATAGTGGACAACAGCAATCAAATTATGGACCCATGAAAGGGGGCAGTTTTGGTGGAAGAAGCTCGGGCAGTCCATATGGTGGTGGTTATGGATCTGGTGGTGGAAGTGGTGGATATGGTAGCAGAAGGTTCTAAAAACAGCAGAAAAGGGCTACAGTTCTTAGCAGGAGAGAGAGCGAGGAGTTGTCAGGAAAGCTGCAGGTTACTTTGAGACAGTCGTCCCAAATGCATTAGAGGAACTGTAAAAATCTGCCACAGAAGGAACGATGATCCATAGTCAGAAAAGTTACTGCAGCTTAAACAGGAAACCCTTCTTATTCAGGACTGTCATAGCCACAGTTTGCAAAAAGTGCAGCTATTGATTAATGCAATGTAGTGTCAATTAGATGTACATTCCTGAGGTCTTTTATCTGTTGTAGCTTTGTCTTTTTCTTTTTCTTTTCATTACATCAGGTATATTGCCCTGTAAATTGTGGTAGTGGTACCAGGAATAAAAAATTAAGGAATTTTTAACTTTTCAATATTTGTGTAGTTCAGTTTTTCTACATTTTAGTACAGAAACTTTAACAAAATGCAGTTTTGAAGGTGTTTCCTTGTGAGTTAACAAGTAAAGAAGATCATTGTTAATTACTATTTTGTATGAATTTTGCTAAAGTTAACTGTAAAGAAACACCTGCTGACTTGCAATTTAAGGGGAATCTATTCTCCTCATTTCCAAACCATATGAATGGGCGCTGACATGTGGAGAGAATAGATATTTGTATGTTTGCAATGTGTGTTTTAGATAAATAGGAATTGGGTATTTAAATTAGCACATTTGTGAATTTAATAGCATTAAGATTACCATCCAATGAAAATCTCAAAATTCCTATTTGGTTTTTGTGCATTTTCTTCCAAAATGTAATCATATGATTTAAGTGTGTTAGAATTGCTGAGTCCTAGCTGTGTTTAGAACATCTTCATTCTACATTTACCTTGGTCACATTTGAACTGCTGCCATAGTTTTTGGGTATAAAGAATGTCTACTGCCCACTATTTAAATTCTGGGAAGGACTAGTGGATGCTTTCCCTCTTCCTCCTACCTTAAAGACCGTTCTTAAGAACTTTTCAAAATAGAGGACCACTAAGCCTGCTATATCTGAGGAAATTAGTGGGTACTTTTTTTTTCCTTTTTAAAAGCACAAGAGGCCCATAATACCTTATTTTCCTTGGTTTAATTTTTTTTTTCCTTTACACACTTTCAGAGCAAGAGAATAAAAATCATGCATTATTAAACCCCTAACTGGCTGGCATGCTTTCTGGTTTGTACCCTATACATTTTGCTGGAGGAAACCAAGAACAGTCTAGGTATAATTGTTCAAAATAATTTACTGCAGCAGAAATGTAGCATAGTTGCTTAGTACAAGCTTCTCACTTCATAAAGACCTGAATTCAAACTTCGGTGATCTGAGTTCCTAAATTCCCAAAGAACACATTGTTATTTCTCGTGTATATTTCAACCTAAATCATGTTGTTGTGAGTTATCAATTTGTTTGGAAGGCCCTGGTTGAGAAAAGTTTTAGATAATAAGGTCATATATATATATATAAATATAAACCAATGTCTACTGTTTTGCGCCAGCTAGTGCTTACAGTTTCATTCGAGCCCTAAGTATGTGCCCTGCTGTTACTCTTTCTTTGGCAGTTGAACGTTGAATTCGAGATTCTTATTTTTGTTTTAAGAAGTACTAAGCAAAACAAGCAATAAAAAGGGGAATGGGGCGTGCTAGTGTTTGAATATGCTCTCTTGTTGCTCTAATTCTGTGCCTCTGTGCATTATTAATATTTGGATGCATGCAATGCCAGCATGGAAATTGGTCTTCACACATACTGCAGTTTTCCAGAAACACTCACAAACCAATAAATGTAACAGACATTCCATTTGTTAATGGGCATATATGTGAATAAGCAGTGTAGAAAATAGGCTAATATTAGAAAATGGTTAAGTACTTAAAACAACTTCAAGTGTGGTTATATAAATGGACACTGTCAATGTTCATAACTTAAACCTGGGTACCTGGTCAAAATAATGCTTGGGGAAACATTTTATTAAAATTAAGCTAAATTGTCTCAAGTTCTTTTATTCTTATAATAAAGATTGAAGGAATGGGGGAGATTAACATTTCCTGTTTTTATGTTTGTGAAATTGTTTGATACAACCTTGACAGTATCCTTTAAGTGGCATATGAGGTTAATTGTATTGTTAACCAACTTTCTGTGTTCTGGAACTAGTTTAATAGTAAAAACATTTTCAGTAAGTTGATGTTTGCAACCTATAAGCAGGTGAAATCTGTGTATGTGACCTGTTTATAAGTTGTATTAGCTTAGCTCTTGTGAACAGTGTGGAAAAGTAAGCCATGAGGAGAGCGATATAACCAGCTTTAAAGGACCTAAGATGTGCTTTTTAAGCACAGTGTGGATCAAAGGAAACTCACTAAGACAGGACTTCAGCAGCCTTTTGAGTATGGACAAGTCAGCATAAATAAAGAATGACAAGGCAGCAGCAAGAGCTTCAACTACAGAGAAGTGAAGGCATAAGATACTATGATGATAGTGAGCAACTTTCCAAAAGCTAGTTAAATCTGCTTATTACAACTGAAATATCGAAGAAAGTCTAGCAGGAAGGAGCTCTTCGCCTTTTGGAACATCAATGAGAGATAGTTGCCACAGTCACTAGGTCTAGCATTTAGACCTGCAAGGAAGGGCAATAAGCATTAGGTAAGGCTTGAATTTGAATTTTTTCACTAATTAAAGAGTAATTTTTTGTAAAGCAAGGTAAGAGTAATCTTTTTGATTTGCAGGTTGAATGAGAACCCTACTTGCCTAAATGAGGAATGTCTTTCCTACCATCTTAAATACGAAGGTTTCTGGCTGGGTAAGGTTTGTAGTTCACAGTAAAACCTGATGACACCATTTGTTTCCCTACAAGTCTATATTACATACTTTAAAACTTTGTCCCTCTCTAGTAGGTACATTGGCAAAAATCTTCAGATGAAAACTATCTTGGTACCGTGTCCAACACATTTTAAACCTAAGTTTTAAGAATTCCCCTGCAATAGCCATGAGTGTTCATCTTGAGTCAGATGTGGCCCCTTCATGTGTACAATTCGTTGTTAGTTATCTTCAGAGTGAAGTCAATTTTTGGTAAGAGAAAGTAGCCTCAGCTTTTTTGAAAACAGTTTCCATAATAAGCATGATTTGTAACAGACTCATTAAGTTGCCAATTCTAGCAACTAGGAATGACACCTTCAAATGAATTTCAGAATTATCAAATGATAAAGATAATAAAAACGGTATTCATTCAAGTGGCCTCATATAAAAGTATACTTGCATATAAATTCAGGGGATTAGTTGGACAAATAGGATAAATTTTGTTTTGGTTACTGTTGACCAGAAACACTGAGGGGCCCGATTATGTTATTATGTTAAAAAGACACCTTTTCCCAAAGAATACTCAACTATTCAGATTAGTTGCTGATTATTTTCAAGGGCTGTTTTTGCTGTCCCAAAAGGGCTTATTAAAGATTGAGGTTAATGTTGATTTACTTTTTAAAAAATACACTTCAGGGGATAGATACTCAAAATATAAGCTAGTTTCTAAATTATAAATATGTCAATTTCTACATGAACAGGAGTAGTCAGTTTGCCAGACTTTATTCTCAGAAAATGACTGGTTGGCTTTCTATCTAAATCAGGACTGAATTTCTACACATCATCATAGAGTGAAGTGTTGAATAATGTAACAGCCTTTTAATATATTTCCTTGGCAGCATGGTTTTTAGTAAAGCAAATTTCCTAAGATAGGAAACAGTTTTCTTTTTCTAAAGGCATTGTTCTTTCCAGTCTAATTTTTTTATGAAATAAAATTATTTTACTTAAATGTAGTTTTATTGTCATTTCTGAAAAATACAATGTTCTCTTAAGTTTGTAGCACCAGTAAGCAAAGTAAGGAAATTGTTATGTAAGTGGTCAATGCTTGAGGCAGACTTTTTAAACTGATGTTAAACCGATTTGTAGGTTACTGCTTCTAATAACTACATTTCTAAAACTAAATTTTCACACATGTCCTAAAGAGTATGTGGTAATAAAGTCCATTTGTTAAGAAAATAATGGAAAGAGGCTTGGTTTCAATAGTTCCGGTATGTATTAGTCACAATTTCAAACATCTCTGACAATGACAGTATCACTTGGAGTTCCAGTAATAAATGTCACAAAGTAGTGAATAAGCATGCTAATGTGCAGGGGTAATACAAGGTTTGTTAGCCTACCTAAATATTTAAAATAACTTTTAAAACTTCGTCTGTTTTATCTGGTTTTTAAGACTTCAGAGGTGGTCTGTAATGGGTTCAAATGTTTCATTTGTAGTATAATGAAATGTTTACAGAAAGATAACTTTTTCATTAAAATATTTTTAGAAATGTGTGTGTTGTTTTGTCACTTCACGATGTTCATGTGACTTACGCTATCAGTGGATATTTCAGTCTACTTTAGTAAGTAATAAAACATCAGGAAACTTGGAATGAGCCTTTATCAGTTATTTAAAAAGTTGTGGATTTTATTAAGTAGAAAACAAAAAACAGCCATGGGAAGTAGGTGTGGAAGAAAATATCTTTAAAAGTTTATTGCCATTTACATTGTTTAAAAGGACTTAGGTCTTGAAGGGCAAAATACTTGGGTGATGTATATGAGGAAGCTGTGGACTTTGAGGAAGAAAAGAACAGGATAATCAGGCAATTGAATTAGTGAAGACAGCTGGGAGAAGTGAAGTGGAATTCCAGATTGAAGTGTCTAGAGGCAGTGGACTAATTGAACATTGTATAGTGAAGGCTAGTTGGGGAAAAGCTTACATGAAATTAAATTGTCCTAAAACTACACTTCAACCCAAATAAAATGGTTGTGATAAATGTCATCTGTTTGGCTTGATAAACTTGTGTAGGTCTTTGATAATTTAAATGTATTTTCTTCAATAAAATTATTTTTGTGGTACAGTTGGATTTCTAGCTTTAATATTTTTCAAGTGAAATGTTTCAAGTTGAAGCAGGTGAGAATTCTTCGCTGTTACAAGATTGCAACACGTTTTTTGATTCAAACACTGGCTTTTGAACTCCTGGCCTCAAACACTTAAGCCTCCCAGAGTGCTGGGATTACATGTGTGAGCCACTACACCTGGCCCTCAAACACTGGTTTTCATAGTAGTATGTTGTGGTTTCATATTCTGTGCAGTTAAGTAATCCTAAAGAATTGCGTTATAATTTCATACTTGGGTCCTGAAATAATTCAGGATGAGTGGATTTTGTTTCCAACAAAATATTTTCTAAATACATTGAAAATACATTGTTAAAAGCTGAAATTCAGGAAATGAGATAAAATTTGAATTTTAATTTACCTATTGTAGACATCTATTAAATTTTCTGAAGACTGCTTTTGTAAAAGTGGGATTCTGTTATGTATTGGGTTGGTTTAACTTTGAATTGAATGTGCTATCAGGAGTAGGTTGGTTAATAAAAGAAAAATAAAAAAATAGAATGTGCAATGCTAAGGTTTGGGGCAAGTAGGGTAGTAATAGGTAAACCATTTTTGCTTATGTTTTCAAAGACCTTAATGTCAGGTAATGACAAGGGTGCACGTTGAACTATATATTCATGTGGTAGAGGTTAAATGGATAGTTGCAAAAGCTAGCTAGGAAGTAAGAATTTACCCATACTATTCAACTTCCTGAATTTATTAGTAAAGAAATGGTAAATGTGGATGAGTAATGTTATGCATGAGGGTGTTGACAGCTTTTAATTTCAAATATATGAAACAGTTAAATATTTCACTACATCTGTATACAGCTATTATATAGTTACTTTAATACTTAAAGGGCTTGTAATATAGACAGAAAAGAATTCTGTCAAGTTGTTACGTCTGGAGGTTATAGTACTAGGCAATTTTTTTTTTTTTTTTTGAGACAGAGTCTCACTGTGTTACCCGGGCTAGAGTGCCGTGGCGTCAGCCTAGCTCCCAGCAACCTCAGACTCCTGGGCTCAAGCGATCGTCCTGCCTCAGCCTCCCGAGTAGCTGGGGCTACAGGCATGCGCCAACCACCATGACTGGTTATTTTTTCTATTTTCTGTAGAGACGGGGTCTCGCTCTTGCTCAGGCTGGTTTCGAACTCCTGAGCTCAAACAATCCACCCGCCTCGGCCTCCCAGAGAGCTAGGATTACAGGCATGAGCCACCGCGCCCGGCCCTAGGCAATTTTTTAATGCATTGTATTACTGTGTATTCTGTTAGTAAATGCTGAGAAAACCTACATCCTTTAAAACATTCATAGAAGAATTCTGATGGTTCTTTAGTTTGAGTTAACCTCAGCTGTGTTCTCTTAGGTTCTCATTTAATAAGTACTAAAAGAAAATGTAATTAGGTTTTTGTTAGTCTGATTCTTATATACCAGGTTTTGCCTCTCAGAAACTTAAATACAGAACTTAGTTTTGTGAGCTCGGACAAGATACTTGGTTAACTTTAATGTTGTCATTGGTAATGCCAGCAGACCCCTTAAAATGCTAGTGATTTTATATGCATGAAATAGGTAGAATTACTTAAATATTACATGAAAAGAGTTATCAGAATAAGTTTGTGACTTAAAACATTGAGATCTAGTTACTGACTTCTAACTTTGAAGTTGTGATGCATAAACGATAGTTTGACATTTGCAACAGTGGTCTAATTTGTGCTTTAAACTAGATCATGAGCACTAAATATCATAGTTTGTTTCCTAGAATATTGAAGGAAGTGTTAAATTTCATTAAATGTTACTGAAAAAGAGGTAACTTTATCTCTGTCAGAATTCTCAGATCTAAATTCTACCTAAGTTAAGAACTCCTGTTTATAATCTAATTTATTTTTTGTAAAGTGGGTATAGCACCCCTCCTTCAATCTAGAAGTTAAATTCAGTAATGGGCTTAAAGAGCTTAACATAGTACCTGTGTCTCCTGGTCCCTAAAGATAGCATTTTTGGTAATGTCATGGATACTGTCTTAAGGATACACTGCATCATACCTATAATTTTAATGGGTGATAAGAAAGGAAGTGATGTCAGTGTTGAATATTTTTTTTCCCCACATAGAGTTGAGATATTATAGTCTTTAAATTTTTTTTTTTTTTTTTTTTAGTTTTCAAATAGTAATAGCTTCGGCTGAAACTGGCCTGATAAACTGTCTTCAAAATGGGAATGAGAATTACTGTGCATATATTCTCAGGCTTCATCACAAATTTTGGAAAGGCAATTACATTGAGCAGACCCTCTTCCTTCAAAAACAAGCTTGAGAAATCTTGGCAAGAAAATAGGTTTTTTATAACAATCCATGCAATTAAGATTTCTAATACAGTGTTTGACATTAATACTTCAATGTAAAAGGCATATGTACACAATTTTAAACTACAGAATTAAACTCAGAAACTTGAGTTCAAGTAAGGTTTAACAGTTGGGCAGCCAAATTTAATCTGAGGACAGTCAGTTACAAGGTTCTTAATTCAAATGCATATTGAGAAATGAAAACATGGTTTTATTTTTTTGTCATGGGTAAGTTAGGATTTGTTATATTTGAAATTGTAAATTTATAATTCTACATAATGCAATATGCTTAGTACTTAAGTGGAGTATTTTTAGGTACTGTAAGGTTCCATGATCAGTTAACATGTATGAATTGGGCAAAATATTTTGAAGTTTGACTAACTCAAAAGAACGCAGATAAAATCTGTTCTTGTCTGCCCAGCAATGCTCTTCCCACTTCTAAGTACTAGTCGATTCCAGGTGTTCCATATGGGGATGCTGCTGAGCTTGCTATGAACTCTCACTTTAAGACCTGGGAATGTTTTGAGATTGGAAAAGCGATGTCTTCTGCCAGGATCCTCCATCACTACTACCACCACTGGAAGAATTTCCTGGATAGCATGAGAAAAATACTTGGGACACAGAATCTTCACAGTTGAATCCCTGAATCCATTAGACCTTGGAGTTATTTTCAACCCTGAGATTTCCAGTCATCTTGAGTCAAAATCGCTTAAGCTAATACAACTGATTTCCTCTCATTTGTAACTAGAAAGCATCCTAATGCAAGACTAAAAAAAAATTTACAAAACACCCAATCATTTAGAGTGTTTACTATGAGCTAGGCAGTGCTTTTTTGTGCAGTGACCTCAGTACTAGTATGCTTTACAGATAAGGAAACATGCCTAAAAGTGCTTGGGTTAGTTGCTAGAGGCCATTCTAGGAATTGGCAGCAGCAAGCACAGGAAGTCTAGTTGTAGGGCCAGTGGACCACTATGCTACAATTGCTCCTAATGGACTGATGTGACTCTTCAGTGAATAATTCACATGCAGTGCTTATTCTAAACATACTTGAACACTCAGGTGAATACCTATCATTTCTCCACTTTAAAAAGGCAAAGCAAAACATGAACAAATGACAGCTGCTTAGATGAATATCATGAACTGATAACTGAATGGTTTATTGGGAAACATGCAGATTTTCAAAAAATTTTGAGGGCCTTGTTTTTACACGCTCAATTTACGTATCTGATAGATCTCACAGTATGTCCAAAAGAACCTCCCTCCTGGATCCAGTCTTCACTGTCCCTGCCTGGGCAACTCAATTCTTAAAAGATGTTCAATGCCTTGATTCTCACATCCATTGTAGTAAGTCCTTTTAGTTCTACTTTTGAAACATGCACAATCCAATGCCTCTTATCTCTGCTATCACCCTAGACAAGCCATCATAATGCATGAGCTTCCCAATTGGTCTCCCTGTTCCCATCCTTTCCCTCTAGACTATTCTCAACACACAAATTAGAGGGAACTTTAAGTTGTATCTCTGAGGCATTTTATAACAAGCTGGTGCTCATACATATTTAAAGTTCATACATGTATTTTTTTAGCTTGACCTAGTAAATAAATCATTAACTTCAGTGATTTTTTTTTTTTTTTTTACTGCTATATAGAGATTCTTTTGTCTGGGTGACTTAAGACCATAATTTTTCAATGGGCATCTGTTTTTCCTTTATTGGCAGTAAGGCAGTATTAATGCTTCCAATTTTGTCACTTTGGGTTCAAACTCATCTCTGTGATAGCCACCACTGAAGGCAGATTTTGGTAGGATTTGAAAAACTTTTACTTAAGGCTCCATGTGTTTCATGGCTTGCAAAACGACAGCCTGCAAATCCTGCAACAGCAATGGCCAGTCCAACTGCTACCACTGTACCAGCCATGGCTCAGGTTCAGCTCCCCATTCCCCTGATGGGAAGGCAGTTCAGCCACTGGTCTTTACCAGAAAGTGCCGCAGTAACTGCCAGCAGGCAGACGGCAGAGGGAACTTTTAAAAATCAGTCAGGTGCCACTCTTCTTAACACCACCAGTAGCTTCCCACTTCACTTAATGTAGGCTTATAAGGCTCTGTGCCATGCCCCAAACCCTATCCTTCCTGACTTACTCTCCCCTGCTCTTTCTTCAGCCACATTGTCTTTTTTCTTAAACATGCCTTAGCTTTGGATTTGCTGCGGCCTGTCTGCAGTGCTCTTAACCATGAAGATGCCTTGCATACTTTCAAATGTTGCCACCTCAATAAGGCTCTTCCTATTTGTAATCTTAAATTGTGATGCTTTTTACTGATCTGCCCAATCCTTTTCCTTCTAAGGATGTAGTATGCTTGCTATCTCTTCATTAGAATACAAGTTCTAGGAGGACAGGCATACTGGGTTTTGTCCTTTGTACTTCAAACAATGCCTAGCGTATAGTAGACAATGTATCTGTTGACTTGAATAAACAAATCAATGTTTTCATGTCAATGTATAACATTTTCTTGGGTTAAGAGGTACCTGCTGTTGAAGAGATAAAATATCTTCTTGATATACTTTATTTCTCTATAACTCTGGACCAGAAATTTAATATAAAATGCTTTTCATATTTTTGAAGAAAACATTCTGAAAATGCAAAACATCTAAACATGTTAAATTTTCTTTGGAAAATTACTACTATGCAAATAAACTCAAAGGAATCCCGAAGAAATAATTCAACAGTCATGATATTCCTTTATTAGTACCAGTTCTTGAAATTGCTTTTTTTGCCAGAGCTAAACAATTTAATATAAAAAAAGTCATTTTTTGTTCATACAGTATTTATAAAAAAGTACATAGTGGTTAGTTTTGCAACAATTTGCTTTTAGCCAGATGTCATACCATCATATAAATTCTATGAATGTAACAAATGAGATAAGAACAGTATAAATAAAAAGTTTTTGTCATATTTACACTTATACAGAAACTAGCCCAAATGGTGTCCTAAGAAATTAAGTTTACAGTTAAAGTGAAACTACTGATTCAACATACTGATAGTTTAATGCTTTTTAAAGTTTCATATTATTTTCTATATTAGTTTTGGCTATAATTTTGCATAGAATTATTTATAAAGTATGGTATTTCTGCATTTCACATCACAGTAGGAGCTTTTAGTATAACAGCACAAAAGAACACTAGCTCAGAAAAGGTCAGATCCTCCCAAATCTAGTTTTTCTTAACATCTGGCTTCTTACTTTTGGGGACAAGGAATACATTGCCATCTCTTGTTTGCTGCAGGGAATATTCACTAGGAGAGTAAGGTTTTCCATCTTCATCACGTAGCATGCTGAAGACTTCAAGATATAAGGTGGTGAGTTGTTTTTTCAGTAGATGAAGGCTTTTGTCATTTTCTCCTTTTTCTTTGAGCAGTTTTTCTTTCTCATCTTTTAAATGATCTAAATCTTGCTCTAGTTCTACTATATTTTCCAGTTTTCTTTTTCTGCAATTCTGAGCAGCCACTTTATTCTTACCCCTCCTACGTATATCTCGAATTAATGCTAGTTGAGCTTCATTGCAGTGCTCTTTGGACATCATTTCATTGAAGTCATCAACAGGGAGGTTAATGATTTTTTCTACAGAGAATGGGATATGGAGAGCTTTTGCTCTAAGCTCGTCTCTTGTGAGATGAGCCTCCAAGCGGCTTGAATGTTTATCTTTTGTGAATGGGGTTTTCCGATGACCAGGGCTTACAGGCAATTCTTTCTTTGGTGTGTTTTCACACTGGGCATCATGCACTGGAGCACTGTGCCCCCAGGATGGTGACAGGTTTTGCACTGTATCCCCAGATGAATGTACTGGCTGTGTTTCAGGACCATTCTGCTTGACACTTCCAGGGGCACTATCTAGTTCTTCTACTTCAGAATCACTGAAGCTAAGCGGTGTATCTCCAGAGATGGATGATTCCACTGAGTGTTCTGGTGATGCCATGCTGGGACTTTTATTCAGTGAAATGCCAGAGTCAGAATCATTGAATTCTGCTGTACTTTCAGGGTGGTTTTGGTTGAAAGCTTTACAAAGTGATAGATCAGAAACATCAATGGGCCCACTTAGAAGTTCAGAGAGTGAATGGCTTAAAGTAGCAGATGAAGGCATGCCGTTGCTGATATTGGGCTCTGCTATAAAAGCAGAATAAAATTCATCACCAAAATCTGTGTTTACTGTGGCATTTGAATTTAATGAGTTCACTGTCAACTGGCTGGGATCTTCTGTGGAAAGGATACTGCTGAAGGAATCCTCAAAATCATTAAGAAAATGTGGACTGCAGTTACCTACTTCTTTTTCCAGTGAGGGGATAGATGAGTAAAAATGATAATTGTTGTCAATTTCTGTAAGTTTGGCTTCTGGACTTGGAACCATGGGAGTCTCAACCAGCTTGTCATTTTCAATATTAAGACACTGCATGGAAAAGAAATTTATACTATATGAATCAAGTTTACATTTTTAATAGTTGCTAATCCATCTCTGATGGTAAATTTAGGTATACTCTGCTTACCCCCCTTCTCTCCATGCTTTTCTATAATTCAGAGATAATTCCCATTTCCAACAGATATGTATATATTTTCAGAGTTCCTAGATCAAACTTTAGGTTTATAAAGTTCTATCCTCAAGATATCCAGCCCATTTAACTAGCATGGATGGCTCTCATTACTAATTTTTTTTTTTTTTTTTTTGAGACAGAGTCTCACTCTTTTTTGCCCGGGCTAGAGTGCCGTGGCATCCTAGCTCACAGCAACCTCAAACTCCTGGGCTCAAGCAATCCTTCTGTCTCAGCCTCCCAAGTAGCTGGGACTACAGGCATGCTCCACCATGCCCGGCTAATTTTTTCTATATATTTTTAGTTGTCCGATTAATTTCTTTCTATTTTTAGTAGAGACAGGGGTCTTGCTCTTGCTCAGGCTGGTTTCAAACTCCTGAGCTCAAACAATCCGCCCGCCTCGGCCTCCCAGAGTGCTAGGATTACAGGCGTGAGCCACCGCGCCCGGCCTCTCATTACTAATTTAAAAGCACCCTCCAATCCTTTCTATAAGTTGGTAGCATGTAAATAATAGATAATCAGAATGACTAATTCAAAAGGCACTGAATATAAAATAGCATCTTCAGTATTACAGTAGATCTTAGTTACCTGTAATTCTGGAATGGATAATAGCTCCTCCCAAACTTGCTCAATGTCCTGCTGCATATTGTCTAAATCAGTGGCTATCTGAGCAACAGATGTTTCAGATGACTGAGTATGATTAGAAGCAATGAAGACTGAGCTCTCGATGTGGCCGGGAATATCAGCAACAAGTGACTGAAATGTAGCCGAAGAAACCTGAAATTGACAAGGCATTTATCTATATGAGTCTGCTACCAACAGTGGATGAGTGAGCTCTAAGGCACCATCACACACTTTAAAGTGCTATCAGCTACAGTTCTGTATTTCTCTGCTTATTGACCATTATGGCCCCCTCTTTGTATATAATGGAACAAATCTTTTTTTTTCCAACCGACTCTAAATTTACTCTTTATTGGCTTAACTGTTTTATCCTATGCATTTGAAGGTAAATAACTTCAAAATGACAACCTTTAGGATTTTATTTATATATCTAGTATAGTGCTTCAAATACAACCAATTTATTAAAATTGTTAACTGAACCAAGTCTTGCTCTTTACCCCCTCAAAATTTTTAGATACCTATAATGAATTATTTGTTTCCATGGTTATGCTGATCCATGTTTCTGGCTATGCAATAGTAAAGGGGTTTGATTTTGTATTGTATGAGGGTCCTTTTTTTTTTAATTGTAAAGTTATCTATAGGCTAAGGTTTCTTTGACAAAATATTTCCTTGATAAAAAATTTCCTGTTTTTTTTTTTAATTTTCTTTTAAATGGAGATACATTAAAGGGACTTATATAGGATATGTTTTGATGTAGTTTTGCTGTTAATCAAATGTTTTATACCTCATTGTCATCTACAAATGGGAATGTCTCTGCCAAAAGCTGCATGCAGTCATCGAAGTACAAAGCGTCTGGTTTGGGAATGTGGGCAACCTGGATAAAAGGGAAAGACATAAAGAAAGAAAAAAATTGTTAAATGTTCCATTGCCAAGCTAAAGACTCATTATTGATGTCTGTAAAATGTTTAAAATCTAGTTAATATTTCTCTTATTTCAGAAATGAATTTGGTGCACAGACTCAAACCAGACTAGCTGGGTTCAAATCTTAGCTCCCCCAATTTTTTTTGAGTGATCTGGGAATATTATTTAACCTTTGAGAGCTTCAACTGCTCATCTGTAGATAAAATGGGATAACGGTACCTAATCCATAGAGTAGTTACACTGACTGAATCCGTCACTGTATGTTAAGTTTTCAAAACAGTGCCTGCCTGCCACAGTACCATAGTAATCCCTAGTACTAATACTAGTTCCACTGCCACTACTTCTGTTGCTGCTATTTGATCCTTACAGGATGTTTCTGTAGTTTGCAAAGCTCTTTCATGTAATTTATGTCCTCTCAATCCTTATGATAACTCCAAGGTAAGTAGGTCAGGTATTGAACTCATCAGGAGGCTGAGGCTGAGAAGTAGACTTGACAACGTAAGTAAAACACATAGTGAAAGCCAAAGCTGCAACTCAAATCTAGATATTTTAATTCCTGGGTCAATACTCCCTTAAACACAACCATACGCTTTTCCAAGAACTAAGCACTCTGTACCTGGGAATAGTTGGCAGATCCACTGGTTTCTGACTGGATGTGTTGGGCTGGCTGAATTGGGAGGAATTCACCTGTCTCTTCATCTAGTTGTAACTGAGCGAAAAAGGCTTTCTCTTGCTCCTTTTGGAGTTGTTCTTGTCTTTCTTTTTCAAGTTTTTTCTGTTTTTCCAGCTCGTACTCCTTCCGTCGCTGACTGAAATCAAATACTTCTCGACTTACCCCAAGATCTATATCCTGCCTCCAAAGTATGTCGATCAAATCCATGTCCTATGTTTAAAACAAAAAGGGAAGGAGAGAATCCACCGTTAAACTGGTTTTTTTTTTTTTTTTTTTTTGAGACACAGTCTTACTCTCTTGCCTGGGCTGGAGTGTCATGGGGTCAACCTAGCTCACAGCAACCTCAAACTCCTGGGCTCAAG